GGGAGGGGGTGAGGGGCTGGGTGAACATATATATTAACATGTTGTTATGCACAGTAGAATTGTAAATGGGCTGATTTATCAATGTCATGCTCATACTGTGCTGGAACAACATAGAGGGAACTGCTGCTTTTTCTTTCCTCATCCTTTCCTCATCCTTTCTTCGTCCTTACTATCGTCATTTTTCCTCCCTGTTTGGAGTCCAACACATCCAGCACTGGCCTCAACATGTCCTCTTTCTGCATTATTCGGACCTACTTTCCCTGTGTGTCTGACCTACTTTCTCTCTCTGTGTGACTGACCTACTTTCCCTGTGTGACTGACCTACTTTCCCTGTGTGGCTGACCTACTTTCCCTGTGTGACTGACCTACTTTCCCTGTGTGACTGACCTACTTTCTCTCTCTCTGTGACTGACCTACTTTCTCTGTGTGTCTGACCTACTTTCCCTGTGTGTCTGACCTACTTTCTCTCTCTCTGTGACTGACCTACTTTCCCTGTGTGTCTGCGACAGACGCGGCCATGAAGGAGAGCCAGGACCTAGTGCTAGCGGCGGACGCGGTGGCAGACATTGCCAAGATGTACGTCAAACGGTCGACGGTCGGCGGTCTCCGCATGGTGAACGACATCAAGATGTTGTTTGAGAGACTGTTTGTGGTGCACAGACATGGGTGAGTGAGGTGGGGGTCGGGGGGAGGGCGTCGAGGGTCGGAGGTGAGTCCTTGAGGTGTTCAGACATGGGTGAGAGGGGCAGGGTGGGGGGTCGGGGGGTAGCGTGATAATCTATGTCTGCTGCAGACCTGACAGCTAAACGAAAAGTAGGCTAGCAGTAATAATTATAATAATTACGATAATTTGTATAATGCGAAAGACAATAATGTTGTACTTGTCTTTCGTTCTCCGCTGTGTTTGTTTTTGTCGTTTTTGAACTGTTGTGTGTGTCTGACAGTCCAGCTGTCCTTGTGGGTGGTTGGCGGGTGCTCTGGTGTGGACTGCACCTTCTTGTACAGCCTTTTCATCTTCCATGACCTTATTGTGTTGGGAGCGCCGTAAAACTGTGACTGTGGGTGGTTGGCATTAACATAAACTCTGGGACTGTGGGTGGTTGGCGGGTGTTCTGGTGTGGTTTGCTTCTTCTTTCTTATTAAACATCTATCATCCTGATCTCTCCTCCTTCTTTTTTTGTGTTTGTTACTCTCTTGTAACACCTCTAATCTTCTGGCTCTCATTTGACCTTATGCAGCTGGGAGCACCGTAAAACGTCTACTAAAACTAACCCCGGCCATGTGTCCCCCCAGACGGCCGGAGCACGTGCTGTATCCGGCGCTGACCGACGGGAGCCTGGCCGAGGTGTCTGCACTCTGTGACCTGGCCACGGTCGTGGAACCCTGGAACTCCACCACACAGCTCAGCACACTGCTCACCTCCGTGCTTCGTAGGGCTGTCAGCTCTCTCAGAGTCAGTGCTTGATGTGTGTGTGTGTGGGTGTGTGTGTGTATGTGTGTGTGGGTGTGTGTGTGTGTCTGTGTGAGTGAGTGTGTGTGTGTGTGGGTGTGTGTGGGTGTGTGTGTGTATGTGTGTGT